CAAATTCAAAAAGAAATCAGAAAATATAACTTTGGGTATAAAAAATTTTTTTTAGTGAGAGTGTATGTGTAGGAAATTATATATATATATATATATATATATATATATATATATATATATATATATATTTGAATAAAGTAGAAAGGAAAACTTAGCTGATGTGTTTTGTCCTCCATGGGACTTTATCAAGGTAAATGCAAGGATTTTATTTTATAACAAGTATTTATATATAAGAGCAAAAATGTTATTAAATTTTCAAAATTTTTGAGTTTAGGAATGCCTTTCCAAGCCAAGATACATGACTATAAAAATGTTAAAAAAATGAAAAGAAAACAGTTAAACCCATGACCTCATGTGTTTTAAAATATATAACTTATAATTTAAATACTAATTGTGCAAAAAAATAAATTCTAAAACATCATTTACCCACTTTTACTTATTAGACATTGAACTGTGTCACTTCATGTCCTCCATAACTTGCCTGACTTTTCAGCTAACCTGATAAATATTTATGAATATTCCTACACCTAAAAATTTTGAAAAACCAATGACATTTTTGCTCTTGTATATAAATAATTGTTACAAAATAAAATCCTAACATTTGTCTTGATAAAGTCCCTCAGAGGACAAAACACATTGGCTAAGATCAGTTTTCCTTTTGTCTTTATTCATAGTCCTTTTACAGATATACTCTGAAATTTTTACACACACACACACACACACACACACATATATATAAGATAGAAAAATTAGAAAACATTTACCAATCAAACATGTCTCACTTTTATTAGAGTTTCATCAGAGAATGAGATATGGAGAAAAAGAAGAAAGAAATTTTTGCAATTTTTACTTTTGTGTTTTTTTGGATTTTCATTGGGTAATCAGGTTTCATGTACATTCAATGTTAAACAAACATTAGTATAATTTATGGCGTTCCAAATTCAAAGAGAGATGATGTGCCCATTCAAAGTGCAAAGAAGTTAACAGATTCCCAGCCTAACTAAAAAAGTGTCAATATTGTTTTCTGTATGTCAGTGTATAATAAGTTTGTCTATATGGAATTCAGATGATAATGTATATTCATAAGTGTGTGTGTGTGCGTGTATGTCTAGTAAACATTATATTTGGTAGTTTTTGCATGTTGATTTTGGAACATTTTTATGTACATACATTTTGTTTTAGATAAACATACATTAGATTATTTAAGAATGGTTTCAATAAAGGTTGGATATGTAATATAATGTTTTTGACAAGTGTTTATAGTTGGTAATATTATTATTAGTAACCCCTGGAAGTACTTTCAATGTAAAGAATTATGTTCTTTCTTAATCCAACACCAATTCAGATGCCAGTACTTAGCAAATAAATCTCTTACAATGTAAAAGTATTTATATCAGAGAGACATCAGGAAATCTAAAAGCCTGTATCTAAGAAAATAAAAGATTTATGTTTAGACAACCTTTCAAACATGCTTGTAATATGCAGGAACAAAACTGGTCATAACTTTAATTTTACAAATGCCACCATAAGTAAAAAATTAGGAAATCAACTAAATTATATACCCAAAACATAAATAAAAAAGATAAAATGAAAAAAAATCTTTAAATTTAAAATTCTTATTGTCTGTCTTTCATTCATGTGCATGTGTAGTTGCATAAATGTAACTATAAACTTAGTCTGATGAAGTCTTACAGGACGAAACAGGTTACACAAAATCTTTTTCCCCTTTATTATACATCTTTCTCCTAAAATAAATAATTATATAATTATAACAATTTGGTGGGGGAGGCGGATTATTAACCTAACAGTTCTTTCCTATTTTTCTATATATTTGGTTTGGTTTGGTATGGTTTGTTTTGTTTTACGGCATATCAACCTCAATGGGTCATTTAATACCGAAAACTTTTTTTTTTTCCTGGTAATATTTTTGTTTTGTCAAAAATCTATTTATGTTAATATTTTTTTTCCTCAAAAATGTATAGCTGGTACTATTATTTTTCCAAAAACGTATAGCTAGTAATTTTATTTTTTCAAAAAAGGAAGATCTAATATTTTATTTTTTCAAAAAAGGAAGATCTAATATTTTTCCAAAAATGTATTGCTGTCAATATTTAAAAAAAAACAAAAAAAAACGTATTGCTGGTAATAGTTTTTTTCTTCAAAAACGTATAAAACTGGTAATGTTTTATAATGCTTTTTACCTCATTTTTGGGGTTAACTATTTGCCATAGCTGGGACCCTAACAGGTGCTACCACCCTGGGTCAGGGTGGACCTGGGAACACCAGCAATTAAGAGGTGGTTCCATGCTCCTCAAAACCTCCTGATCAGACGCCTTGCTGTTGGACGTAGTTTATTGTCATAACCAGGACGCAGCTATAGTTTATCATCATACCCAGGACATGTATATATTTACACACACACACACACTATATATATATATATATATATATATATATATATATATATATATATATATATATATATATATATATATATATAGTTGATAGGAAAGCAAGGAGCCAGAAATGAGTTCAATGAGTGAGAAATCAATGTGAGAAATAAAATTTTAGCATAAAACTTACATTTAGCTATTTCAACAGTAAAATGATGAGATTGACTGCTTGATTTTTTCTTTACATTTTATCAACCCTTTGTAGATTATTTAAAGTCAGAAAATACTTTTTTTAAATTCTAAGAATTTTTTGAGATAATAATGATATATTGATACAAGTCCTCATAATTAACGCACAGCTGCAGGGAAAAGAGATGGAATCATACCTTGCCCAATGGTATTTACATGTAAGTTAATATAATGGATACAACTGGAATTAGAACATGGCTCTCTGATTTCTAATTCCGTTGTGCTATTCATTACACAAGTGATCCCCCCAACCATTTTGTAATATAGATGGGTGCCATGAAAGCCAATTTTTTCCATAGATGGGTGCCATGAAAGCCAATTTTTTCCATAGATGGGTGCCATGAAAGCCAATTTTTTTCCATAGATGGGTGCCATGAAAGCCAATTTTTTCCATAGACGGCTCGGTGTTGGTTATGCATATAACAAAACACACTAAACAAGACTGGGATAGTCAATAAAATTAAAAATGTTTTTATTCTTTCTATGTGGCCTGGTAACAAATGGTCTATGGCCTGGTACCGGTCAGTGGCCTAGCAGTTGGAGACAGTTGCATTATACCACCTAGATATCCAGGCTTGCAGCAGCTTGCATTCACAAACTGTCACCGATCAGGCTTGATGTTGCTTAACTGTGGTAATCATATGAGAACTGATGTTTCAATGTGATATGGCGATAAGACTAAAATGATGACAACTAGTTGCCAATCAAGTACTATACTTAAATTCCTGAAGTCAAGGTACCAATGAGGAATACTCATTAGAACAATTAAAATGATGACACCTAGTTGCCAATCAGGTACTATGCTTAAATTCCTGAAGTCAAGAACAATAGCCATGAAAATATTTATAGAAAAGCCACAGAGAAGCTGCATTACAGTGGTGGGAAAATGATTGAAGCTAAGATGCCATGCCAGGACCAATAATGTTGCAGATGCTTATTGTTTTTAGGAAGTACTATGCTAATATGTATATATCTCCCAGGATAATTAGAAACTGAATAGTTGTCAAATTTTGTTTCCTCCTGAAGATAAGTGGGACACTCCAAACAAACATCTTGCCTAGAAATCAAGTTATTTCATTTTATTGATGGCAACATAAAAATTAACTAGCTTTAATTTCATAGTACTGACTAAGCAATTACTAAAACTGTGTTATCACTTTAATATATAATAAATAGATAAGTATTATCAAATCAAATAACAATATCAATAAAGTCAGATAAACAATGGCTTGAAAATGATTTTTTTCTAGATTAATTTGTTTTTTATGGTTTTTTATGATAATAACAATTTACTGATACAAATCATACTATTTAACCCATAGCTGGAGGGGAGAAGAGGTGGATAAATACCTTTCTCAAGGGCATTTGTGTATAAGTGAATATTTTAAGATTGTGAGAGTCTTTTGGAGATAATAACAATTTACTGATACAAATCATACTATTTAACCCATAGCTGGAGGGGAGAAGAGGTGGATAAATACCTTTCTCAGGGGTATTTGTGTATAAGTGAATATAACAAACCCAACTGGAATTGGAACTCAGTTGTTTTTCTAGTGTACTTTCTCTTTTTAAACTCCATTTTAACTAATAATTATGGAATGCAGTATTTCATTCTTGAAAGTCAAAAATCATTCTTCCATAAAAAGCAGGTTAATGTTATTTACTATCTGTTGTAAAATGTGTCAGTGGTTGCATCAAAATTGCCCTTGTAAATAAAGAATAAAACTCTCATTTTATCTCTGTGTATGTGTATGTGTGTGTGTTTCCTTCCGATATACAAAGCCCAATGCATGTGTGTTTATGTCTATTTGAAATACTGAAAGTTGGTTGCTAATGGTAATAGTAATATGATCTGTTTCCTTATAAGGAAACATTTAGCTTTCACTGATCGAGCAGCCAGTATGACCTGCTGGTTAAAATTTATAAATTTTTTCTCTTAAAACAATTTTTCAAGAAAATAGATTTCTCAAGTCCAGTAACTATTATTGATCTTTCCAGTACTGATGAGGGTTTCCTTCCTAACCTTTTATTTGAATACTGTGGAATGTCAACATCTTGATTCTATCATTATTTCCTCTTCAAGTTACACATGCTACCATTTTAGTTATTACTGCTGAGGCTTCAAGTGATGTGGTTTCTGTTATTTGGTACAGTTAAAAATTGTAAAAGTATATACAAATATATTAAATTAAAGAGAAAGGAAAAGCAATGATAAGTAAAATAAAAAAAAAACCCAATTATTATTTACTTTTAAGTTGTAGATTGAAAAATATTATTGATTCTAGGTGAGGTGCATTAATATCTGACACGATGTTAATCATTGTATTAAGGTCAGTTTATGACTGCAAAACCCCAGTCACATCATGTTGAAACATTGGTTCCCATATGATCAACGAAAGTTAAGCAATGTTGAGCCTGGTCAGTACTGTGATGGATGACCGCTGAGGAATACCAGTTGCTGTAAGCTTGGATATGCGGGTGGTGTAATGAATAATGACTTCGAATTGGAACTTGGAAAGTCAAGATCCAATTGCAGTTGGGCTTGTTATATTCACTGACACACAAATACCCTTGGGAAAACTATGAATTCACCTCTTCTCCCCCAGCTAAGGGTTAATTAGTAGGACTTGTATCACTAAATCATTATTATCCAAAAAAACTTCTTACAATCTAAAAATATTTCTTGGCTTTAAATAAACTGCAAAAGATTGATAAGACATAAAAAATCAATCAATCAAAAGAGTTGGTATGTGTGTGTTGTAAGACAGATATATCAACAATAAATGAATTCATGTCAGTGAACTTAAAAATTAGATTTTCAGAATAATATAAAATGCAATAAAAATACATTTCTTTTGAAAATATCTTTAATAATGTTTAATCTTCATACCCACAAAAAATAATGTTTAATCTTCATACCCACAAAAAATAATGTTTAATCTTCATACCCACAAAAAACTGTGTCAAAAGGACAGTTTTTCTCTTAACTCCACTATTATTTTAACTACATTCACAACTTGGCCATGTTTATTGTTTTAAAAAGCAAAGATTAGAATTTTAATAAAACATAAATATATGATGAAAGTGAATATATAAATTTCATTTTTTTCTTGAGAATTTACAAGAAAAATATTAAACACTATTTATTTATTAGGCTGTTTATTTACAATAATAATTTTATATTTACAACATTCTAAAAACTAATACAATGCAATATTTATTATGTATATCAGTGTGATCATACCTTTCTCAAGGTTATTTGCATATAAGTGAATATAACGAACCCAACTGGAATTGGAACTCAGCTCTCTGGTTTTTAATTCTGAGCTGTTATCCATTACACCAGGTGGACATCCAAGCTTACAGCACCTGGTACTTTCAGGGAGCTAGTGGATATCTGGTGCTTGAGGTATCTACAAAAGGGTTGAAGCAGTTTTTCGTCTCTAGGTGATATAAGTATAGGCTTCTACTTTAAACTTCACCTTGTGTTCCATTTGAGTGGGCTTACTGATAAATGTTTATTTTATTCATTTATCCAGTAATTTGCAACATTTTCATTCTCAGGGTTACATTTTAGAAGCAAGATATTTTGGCAAAATTTTGCCCATAAAAAAATTATTTATATATTACAGCTTATGGAAAAAATCATATGTAACTCATTTCATCAATCAAAAGGTCTTCTTCATCTATACGTAGGGGCAGGCAATGAAAATATAAACAAACGTCAGTTATATTTAAACACCTAAGGAAAGTGATGATGTTGCAGTGATGAGTAACTTGAAATTTAAAATTTCTGGCACCCAATGTATTTAGATATGCAACCTTGCTGACCTTATTCAGCTTCTTGCCGCTGTTCTTTTTTTTTTTTTTTTTTTTTTAAATAGAACAATATCAGCAAAAACATTATTTAGTCTGATAAAGGTCAAAACACATTACAAAATTTTTTTTCCATTTTGTCATTCAATTTCTCACCTTTATCATATTTTCTCATTTAAGTTTATGAAAATAATTAAACACTAAAAATTAATAATTACTTTTTTTTAATCAGTAAATTAAGGGGAGGCACAGTGGTGTAATGGATAGTGGCTCAGATTGAGGAATTGGAGAGCTGAGTTCAATTTCCAGTTGAGTCCATTACATTCACTTACACGATAATATCCTTGAGAAAGGTATGAAACCTCTTCTTCTCCCTCTCACCAGCTATGGATAAATAGCAGGACAGACCAGGTTCTATAGCCTTGGATAGCAACTGGTCTACCAGAGAAAGAAATGGCAACCTACTGCAGAAAAAAAACTCGCCTCAGATATCAAAGGATACATGATTGCCTAAGTGTGTATCAGGCACGGCACATAACTGACTGAAATTAAGAAAAGTTCTTAATGAGGAACATGATTCTTTATTTAACCAAATTTTCTGCATAAAGAGGAAAAACAGATTTGTTTCTTCTTTAATTTGAAGGCTTATGGTCACATCACATTGAAACTGTACGATCACTGAAAAGCAAGGTTGAGCCTAGTCAGTACCGAAATGGGTGACTGCTTGAGAATACCAGGTGCTGTAAGCTTGGATGTGCGGGTGGTGTAATGAGCTTACGGTCACATCACATTGAAACACTGGTACATGTATGATCACTGAAATTAGGCAATGCTGAGCTTGCTCAGTACCTAGATAGGTGACCACTTGGGAATAAAAGATGCTGTAATGAGCATATGGGCACATTACATTGAAACACCAGTTCCTGTATGGTTACCGAAGTTAAGCAACATCAAGCTTGGTCAGTACCTAGATGGGTGACTGCTTAAGAATTCCAGTTGGTGTAAGCTTGGATGTGTAGGTGGTGTAATGGATAATGGCTCAGAATTGTTAATCAGAGAACTGAGTTCCAATTTCGATTGGGTTCGTTATATTCACTTAGATGTAAATACAATGTGGTTGTTGCAAGGGCTTACAAGGAGGTGTTTATTATGAGGATATGTAGGATAGATAACATTTGACCATAGACTTGAAGAAGTTAAGATTGTACTGATCAAGTATAACGGCTCAAAATTGGAACTTGGAAAGTCAAGCAATTCAAGTTGGGTATTTTATACTCACTTATGCACAGGGAAGGTATGAATCCACCTCTTCTCCCCCCAGCTATGGGTTAATTAGTAAGACTTGTAGCCCTAAACTATTATTAGCTTCAAAAAAGCTTATGATCTAAAAATATTTGAGGCTTTAAATAACCTGCAAAGGGTTGATAAGCCATAGAAAACAAATCAGTCAACAAAAAAATGTAAACAAACCATTCTCTTTTATTTGCATTTTCACCAGACAAGAAAATCTCAATTCATGAAATGTGGAAAACTGGATCGAAATAGTCAAACATTCTACCAGTTCAGACCTTTACAGCAAGGACACGGCAAGCTACATCTACAGAGTCAAATCAGCCACATTTCCTCTGTATTCCAAACTGAATATGAATTGAATACAAAAATACTTAGATGGAATATGAATTACACTTATCAATTTCATTTTTCATTTTAGGAAGTATTTCTGTCTGAATTTCTGGGATGAGGAATTACTTTTGTAACTTATAATCAGATTATTGCCTTCAATATCCTCATCATTAAATTATAAATTCCTTGACATGGTAATTGTGAGTTCAATCCCTGGACTGGGTAGTACAGACTTAGAGTCAGTAAAAACAGAGTAAGTAATACCTGAGCTGTACTAAAATAAGAACAAGAATTGATTGAACACAAGAACAATCTATGTAGAATAAAGGGTTCAGTTTAAAATTCCCTGAAGCTCAGGATCAACAAGCACCTGATGAAAGTCAGAGGACACAATGGTCGAAACATTGTGATACTAACAACAATGATATTTTTTGTTGTGGCAATACTTATCCAAATGAGATTGTATAAGATATTTAAAAAAAAATTTCTTTTATGTACTGCTGAAACTATAACGTGAACAAAAGTTATTGTTACTTCTATAAACAATGGATTATTACATGTATGCTTTTGTTTTTTTACATTTTTTAGAGTAATTCATCAAGCTAAACAATATGAAAATCTAAATAAATATCCATCGGCACATCAATATCAATGTGGGTTATGAACTGAGAAAAATTTTTTTATATAGTTTTTTTGTAAGTACACTTAAAAAAATAAAAAAATATTAAATTATATTTTTATATCAAATCTTTTTTCTTCCAAATAGAAAAATTGTATTCTTTTTTTTTTAATTTTTGGATAAGTAATTGAAAAAATGAATTTTGAATCCAGTAAAAGAATTACTGTATTTCCCCATGTATAATACGCATTTTTTCCTAAAAAATAATAAGCAAAATGAGGGGTGCATATTATGCACAGATACAAAAAAATCTTTAAAAAATTGCCATAAAATAAAATAAGAATTATCATAAGACTAAATTAGAATAATATTATTCTATGTTTAAAAACCACTTTTTTTAAATAAGAGTAGGAAACGCTGACCGTAATGAAATTGGAGAGGTAAAATTTATAGGGTTTGATTACCAAACAAGGGGTGCATATTATGCATGAGAAGAAACATTTTCCCACACTTTCAGCACAATTTTAGGGGTGCATATTATTATGGATGAAGGTGTATTATACATGGGGAATTATGGTATTTCTTTGTTGTTACGGTTGGAATTTACAGAAGGTTTCTTTTTTATTATTTGCAACTGAACAAAACTAACAAAAACCAATTAGTTACCTGTTTCCTAGGTCTAACCGCAAATGGCGAGACCTTGTTGATGAGGATGACAAGGATAAGCATCCCTTAGATGTTGTCCCACTGTGCATTTCAACAAGAGAATTGGATAAAGATCTGTGTACATACATAACTCCATAGTTTGGTGAGGTTGGATGTAATCCAGACATTGTGAATCGTGAAGAAGAATTCCTATTTTCAGTGTCTTTTATAAATCCAAAATTAATTTTGATTCCAAAGTGAAAAAAAAAACATAAGAGAAGTTTGCCTGGGGGAAGTTTAAAATGATAGAAAAGAAAGGAGTTCTCATCATTCTTTTCTTTCTTTCTTGTTAATTAATTTCAAGTAAAAACAAAGCCATTCAAACATTTTATAGTGAATTTTTTTTTTTTAAATCAGTTAAAGAATTAGTATAAATTAGAATAATTATGCTATTAATTTCTCTTTTGTTTTTTTTTTGTTTTGTTTTTTTTAAGTAAAATATCAAAGTTATTATCCAGAAAAACTCTGGAAATTGGAAATTAGTTTCCAAATTCAAGTTTTGATAAACAAAGAAAAAAATTAAGAAGTCTGAAGTTGAACTCAGGAACCTTTGTTGAGAGTGTGATTAATAAAGGTTAACTCAAACTTAAATTAAAAAATATTTTAAAAAAAATGATACTAATATCAGAAAATGAAATATTGTCGATCAGTTGCGCTGATCAGCTGAGAAAATACTTTTAGTTGGGCATAAATCAAAAAATAACTTCTCGTTTTTAATCTTGAATACTGTCAAGAATAAATGTTATAATAAAATGTTTTTAGTCTTGCAACAAACAAAACTAATAGTCAAAGTCTTTTGAATTTGTGATTAGACGGCAAAAACCAAAAAACAACCAAACCAGATTTCAAGTTCTGTAAAGTATTTCAAAATACTTTACTTTGATTAAGCCAAATGAAGACGATAACACTCAGTAAACTCACTCATCAAGTGTTCTCAAACCAAGTGAAAAGTAAAGGCACACTATGTATGTTCAATTAGAAAGCATGTATCAGATTAAACTTTTTTTTTCTAAAACAAATAAAACTTAGAGAACCACTCTTCATCAATAAAACACTTTTTTTTTTTAATTTAGAGATGAACTTTAACAGTAGACTATATATAAGTTCAAAGGCAAAGCTCATCAACTCTGCAGTGATATACTAAAGTGATACACCATATCCAATGGACTGTGTAAGGCTCTAAGTAAATTCAGTTTTACTTTTATATCAGCAAATGCAACAAGGAAGATTACTGGAGACAATACATTAATCTTGATTGTAATTTTTAGGTAATAATAGTGAATACAATTAGTTAAATTTTAGATATAAACTTAGCCAAAAAGAAAAAAAAATATGATTGGACTATTAACTTTTTTTTATAACGTTTTTTTAACTTTTACTTTTCATAACTTCATGCTATGTTTTATACAATCATATAAACATTTATTATTTCTCCAAAATTTAAAGATGAAGGATTTCTGATATTTGAGAGCTGAGGTTGGGTAACACGCACTTGAAAATTTTTTAATGAGTTTGTTTTTATTTAATTATGTGTGTGTGTGTGTGTAAAATGAAAGATGCAAAAGTTTACTTGCAAACAAAGAACAATGTTAAGTTTTTGTAATTTCTTCTTTCTTTTAAAGTCCTTTAGTTTTTACTAGATGATAAAAGTACAAAGATTAAGAACGTTTGTACCTCAACCAATTTAAATAATAAATCTTCATAAATACATTTTTATACTTATTTAAAAAAAACAAAACAAATCCAGATATTTTTTAGAGTTTAAATTAATTCAGATACTCACACATTTCCAAAAAAGTTATTTGGACATTTTAATACTTTAAGAGCAGGCTGTGAAAATAAAATTGCAGAAATTCGATATTGCATGATGTGAAAAGAAATGAGGTTAGTGAAAGCAGAATTTGTTTGTTTTTTTTTTCCAGAAAACTCGACCAGTTTTTTTTAAAATTCAAAAATAATTTTGAGTTTTTTGACAATGAACAAACTTGATTGATCGTTTATAAATAAAATTTGGAATTTGGTTTAAAATCTAAATTCAGAATTATTAACTTTTTAAATTACTATTTTAGCTTGTTTAATTATATTTTTTAATTATTTTAGCTTGTTAAAATTATTATTTTTAGGCTTGGTAAGCAAGCAGGTTAGAAAATATTTTTATATATTTTTTCAATAAAATTTTAATCGCTATGCAAATTAATTGTTTTAATTATAGTTTATTAATGAAAATTCAAAATAACTGAACTAATAAAAAAAAAACTATCTATCTAAAAGGTTGGAGGAAAAATAAGATTTAGTTTTTTTTGTTACTTTTTTTTTTTTTTTTAAAACCTGTTCAAAAGATTTTTAGTGACTTAAAAAGCAATTATTTCTTTTTGCTTTCTTTTCTTTGAAATCGAAGCGTTAAGAAATATCCAATTATTTTTTTTCAGTTATTTCTAAAAAAATTTTAAAAGGATTTTTAAAAATTCAGGATATACGTTTTTTTTTTTGTTGGTGTTCTTTTATTAATTTGTTGTCATTATTTATAAATAGCATTATTGTAAAATTCCTGAAAATGACGGAATTCCATCAATAAATATTTCTGAAAACGTCTCGGGGCCAGCAGTGTTGTACTCAAAGAGACGATCGAAAAGAAAAGAAACATGAACGTTTTCTTTCTTTTTTTTTTAATTTTTGTATCGCCCTTTTTTTCTTAATTCTGTCATGAAAATAATAACAATCATCCATTCTTTTTTTCAAGTTCCAATTTGATCCGTTTTTTTTATCCTCCACCTGCCCAGGTATTCCTTTTTGTTGCTTGTTTTCTTTATCCTTTCGTTTTTCCATTAATTCGTGTCAAATATTAAAAAACAACAGAAAAAAAGTAGTGGGGGGACACAAATGATAAAGGGGGGGGAATGATAGGAGTTGGATCCTATGCTTACACTCCAACTAAAAATGTTATTTTGTTACTATACCATCCCAGGCGACGAGCTGCCTCGGCACTGTGTTAAAGTGTAAACAGGTGCGTCCAATTCGTCCGTGTGTTAAGTGACAATAAAAATAATAAATAAAACTCTCTCAATTAGTGAGTCTACCTCTCTGAAACGTATCTGGGAGAATTGCTCTGGTGCATGCAGAAGAACCCCCCCACTCCTCACTTTCGTGTGTGCTGGAGAAAGAAAGAGAAAAAACTACAGTACAGGCCGATAGATAGATAGATAGATAGATATACGCAGGGTAACCACGATGTAGCGGTGGTTGTGGTAGTTATCGGGTAACCTGCTGGGAATCGCTCTAAGTTTATATCTCTTTCTTTACTTAACTTTGTTCGTAACATACTCTTTAAATCGAGGTGTGTGTGTGTGTGTGTGAGCGCGATACACGTGCCTTTTTATGTATGTGGGTTTGTAAACAACTAAATATATGCATTTCCCTGCGATCGTATGCAGATAGACAATGAAAACTACAGATACATCTATTATTCTTCTATAAAATGATTTACATAGTGAGTAGGGGCTGAAAAAAGAGAGAAAGAAAGCGTTAAGAAAATATGTGATAAATTGTAGTTGTTTAGTTTGTGTATCCCGTTCTGTTCTGTTGGTCCTGCAGGCACCAACTTGCAGGTTTAGCTTTGCTTTGTGTCGTGGTATCTAACAAAAAAACAGTTTGACAAGAAGAGGTTTCTCTATTTATTCCAACGTCTAAGTACCAGCTTTGGTGGTATTATTCGTCATCGCAAGGAAGCCCATTTTGCTTGGCACTTCTGAATCACCGAGGCAACATTTGCAAGGAAGATCACTTTTTCTTTCTTTCTTTTTTTTGACTTGACTACCGTTTACCGAATAGAGAGAGAAGAAGAAAAAAAAAAAGCAGTACTTATCGTCAGCTTTCTAAGAACCTTTGTTTTATTTATTTATTTATTAGGAGAGAATTGAAATTTATTTGAGACGGAAGCTGAGTATTCCTCTGAAAAACGGCTTTTTCATCATATATCGATAAATAAAAATATCGTTACATGACGATATATAATTTTTTTTTTTTTTTTGTAGGATCAGGTCGGAATTTAATTAATTGGCCCCAAGAACTGATAAGAATCAGTATTTACCGAAGAAATGTGGTAAATGAGTAAGTCAAGTGGTATAATTTTAAATCGTTTTTTTTTTTTTTTCGTTTAAAATGTTACTTGTTATTTAATGTTAAGCGAGCGATAAATTTCTAGTGTTTTTTCTTAAGTGTGCCCGGTAAATGGTTTTTAACACGAGTCGTGGAGTATGTGAATTATTGTTATGAAGAGCCATAATCAGTTAAAAAAAAAAAAAGCCAAAATGTGGAGAGATAAAAAAAAATTAAAAAAAAAAAAGTGGTAAAATATCAGCAAATGTAGCAAATTCGACAAGAATATAGGGGGGGGGGAGGATGAACCGTGCAAGCGACAGTTTTTTTTTGTTTTTTTTTAACTTTTAGACTTTTTTGTGTTTGACTTTTAATACAAAACAGACTAATTCGCAGACAAGCGTCTCTACCCAAGAGAATCAAACACATCTACGGCCGGTACAATGGTCTCTTGCCCAATCCCCCAGGGATATGCCTCCCCTCCTCTAAAACATCTCAATTTTCATAAGGTAATTTTCATATAAAATACAAATTTTATTGTAACCTAATTATGTACAATAATGGATCATAGGTGAACAATTCAACTAGAAAAATTGAAAATAACATACAAATAGGTTACGTTGAAACACGGCTTCTCGTAAGATCATTGAAGTTAAGCAACATCGAGCCTGGTCACTACTATGGGTAACCACTTGGGAATTCCAGGTGCTGTAAGCTTGGATGTGTGTGTGTGGGGGGAGGTGTAACGGCTCATGGCTCGGAATTGTTATTCGGACAGCCGAGTTCCAATTCCAGTTGGGTTCGTTATATTCACTTACGCGCAAATACCCTTGGGAAAGATATGAATCGACCTCTTCTCGCCCATCCCAGCTGTGGGTTAATTAATTAGACTTGTATCGTTAAACCATTATTTACAAAAAAAAAAAAGAAAAATTCTTATAATCTAAAAATATTTTTCTGGCTTTAAATAACCTGCTAAGAGTTGACAACTCGTAAAAAATGAATGAATGTATTCTAAAAGTACAAATTAGACACGTCATACATCATTCCATCTTAAATAGATCAACGTTTTTTGCGGAAAATTTTAACATCAACTTGAGATTTTTTTGTTAAAAAGAATTTTAACACATTCAACATTATGGATAAAAACATAGTCAATTTTAGTGTTTTTTCAGGACTTAGCATGAGCAAAGGAAATTCACAGATTTGGACCCCCACTCCACCCTGCAAATGACGTCAAAATCTGAGAATTTTTTTTTTATCCTTTAATAATCAGTTGTGTTTAGTTTAATTTGTGACGTAAATGTAGGTAGAAAAAAGCAGTTGAAAAGATAGTGAGGGTCACAAAAAGCACTACCCTGGGTTGGTCCGGCCCGTTCGGAGGTATTACACACCGGCCCTCTAGAGAACTTTGATAAAACTGCAGAATAAAGCCCTCCCTCCACTTATATTTTGTTTACTTCATTTATAACTGAATTTATAAAAACGGAATTTGTAAGAAAAATTGACGGCAATGTAAAGCCTTTCTTTAATTTTTTGAAATCTTTTGAACACTAGTTTGTATTTTTAAAGAAAAGTCCACAGAGAATTTTATTTTATTTTATTTATTTATTCTGACTTGTTCAATGATTACATTATTTACATTATTCGGACTATTGTCCTCATCTTTCTCGCCATATTTATTACAACGTTTCGGCCGTTGTACGCTCCGGCCTTCTTCAGGTGGTTGGAATGTCGGACTTAACCCTTTATTTCGCTCACTTGGGTAGACTGTTCTAGTTCCACGTGCCATGTTTTTAATGGATGTCAGTTATCAGTTATCTCCTGTTAATTTCCCTCTGAAAGTTAACCGGGTATTGAACTCACACTCTTTGTGTCCTGTCACTGTATCTAACTAACGCCTTTATCCACTGTGCCATGTGTCCTTGAGGATATATGGTACATTTTAATAAATATGGCGACAAAGATGAGGACAATAGTCCGAATAAATGTAAATAATGTACATAATACCTCATCTCAGAAATCTAGACAGATACTGAAAGGCGGAAACATTGTGATAAATATGGCGACAAAGATGAGGACAATAGTCCGAATAATTTAGTAGTGTACAAATCTCAGAAATATAGACAGATACTGTTCAATGATTGTTTTAATTTGAGAAATATTACGCTTAACAAGAATATTTCAAGATGTTTTTCATTTTGCTGCCAGAATTAATGAAATGCACACTTTTTTTCATTTTCTTTTCATTTGTGTGTGTAGAGAGGTATTCTGCATTTTTACCAGAACTTTTTGAGATGCCAACCAATAACCAACTCTGGCCAGAAGAATGGACCCAAATAAATAAAAAAAAACATTTAAACTAGCATTTTTAGATCTTGCCAGAGATAGCTGAAGAAATCATGGAATGTGAATGTGAAGGTCGTACCAACCAATTGTTATCGGAGAGCTGTGAATAGTCCCAAAGAGCTCAGAAAAAGAGGCAAGTGGAATTTAAAATCGGAGGCCTGACACCAACCAGACGACAACTTTTTGCTAAATATTTTAGCAAAGCTGTCGTCTGTCGTTATGAGCCATATTTTTAAATTTGTTATCTTGCCTTTAGTGATTTTCCAAGCGTAGCTCAGATGTGGCACTAGGGCGAAAGTATGGGGCACCCAGTGAGGATCGAACTCACTACTAAGTCGTAATTGTTCTAGCGAGATAAGCTTGTTAACCATTATACCACTTCGAGATGCCCAAGTAATTTTCCAAGACTAAAATAAGCCAGAATATTGAGGAGGGTCCTGGGCTATATGGGAGACACTGCTGGCGAGATAATCTGAGTAGAAATAAGAAAAGTTTTAAAAAAATAAAATAAAAATAGATTTTTAGTCAATTTTTATTTACATAGTTTCCAGCTGAGATAGATTTTTTTTTAAAGTTCTGCCTTTCTTTGCAGATATGTTTGGTAGATTTTTTACCAAATGTTTAAAATAGGAATTCTGTTAAGTAAGTCGAGTGGGCACTGTTTAAAAAATAGAGTACTGAGCCACTCATAAAAAAAAAAAAAATAGAGAAAAGATGTTTGGAAATAATGTAAAACGATTAAAATAATACACTAAGTTTGTTTACTGCTCTTTCTTTTGAGGAGAAAATATAAAAAATTATATAAGAAAATTAAATAAATAATTAGTAAAAATGTGTAGATATAAAAAAAAAATACTGTCTCTTACATTTCCTTTAAGAGAAGTGTTAAAAAATATTAAAAGCCAGACGGTTAATAAAAATTAATTTTTAAATTTGATGTGAAAGTTTTTCTTTTTGTTCAACTTCCTAAAAATAGAAAGGGTCGAAAAAAAAAAAACCGTGGAAAATAAGTTTGTCAAAGGTGGGCAATTTATGATTTCAATTTCAAAGATACACCTTTGAATGTTTTTTCTTTGTACAGTCAGGAGGGTGGCTTTCTCCGACTTAAATTTAAAATTGGAGACTCGTCTGGAGCCGATTTTAGGGCGACATAAGAAATTGAGAAAGTTACAAAATTTCTGAAAATACACAAGGTACCAGAAGGTTACAAGTCGTAAGGATCCAGAAAGAAAGGCAGTGGGAAGGATATTGGAAAGAAAGGCAGTGGGAAGGATATCGGAAAGAAAGGCAGTGGGAAGGATATCGGAAAGAAAGGCAGTGGGAAGGATATCAGAAAGAAAGGCAGTGAGAAGGATATTGGAAAGAAAGGCAGTGGGAAGGATATCGGAAAGAAAGGCAGTGAGAAGGATATCAGAAAGAAAAGTAATTTGGTCTGTCACCAGTGGATGAGCAGGACTGTTTCTTACGCAAGAAGCAAACGAAGACAAACAGAAAAAAGAAGCGGAAACATTACAAGTGAAATGAAAAATTACTTTAATCATCGAACTGTGTTAAAAAAGAAAGGAAAAAAAGAGAACAGATTTTTACAGATAAGCGACATCTATCAAAGAGATGAAATTTAAACTTTTATTATTGCTTTTTATTTTTATTCCAAAATTTTAACACATCAGCTGATAGCTATTAAAAATGCCAACAAGTGAGCACAAATAGTTCTTAATTAAAAAAAAAATTAATGTATAATATCCATAACTACATGTATTGTACAAGAATGTCGTTTTTGATAAAAGTTAATGTTAAAAAATAAATATGTAAAAATGCGTATATTGTCGAAAATTCATTTTCCACAATATAGCAATTTGTGCGATAAAAATGCTTATTAAAAAAAACAATACTGTATAATTTTTTTAAACAGTATATTTAATCATATTTCCCTAAGAGCTGTCGCAATAAAAATCCCAGTTACTCTGTTGAACTTGCCAAAAAAAGCTTCCTAGTTTTGATTTAACTTTCAATTCAGTGTATCTTTTTTGAAAGAATGTTTTTTTTGAATCTTACTTTTTTTTCTTTTTTTTTTTAAAATAATTTTCGATTATTGAAAGTTTGTTGAATAATTTATCTTTTTTATGAGCCATATTTTTATCTTTTTAAATTTGTTATCTTGCCTTTAATAGTGATTTTCCAAGCGTAGCTTAGATGTGGCACAAGACCGAAATTAGGGGGGCACCCAGTGAGAATCGAACTCACTACTCAGTCGCAATTGTTCTAGCGAGACAAGCTTGCTAAAACCATTTACCACCTCAAGGTACCCTTATCTTGCCTTTAATAAGGCGCAGAAAAAAGGACAATTTTCTGCAAACTTATTTGTAAACATTGTATATCCTGTTCTATTGTTTTTATGTTAAATGTTTGTTTCTTTCAAATTTTACATCGGAGTTTCGAGTTTGTTTTCAATACGCCTTCGAAATAAGAGTGTTGACGTTCTCTCTTCTCCAACTTTCACCCCGAAATAATCCTTTTAAATTAGCTTTCGTTAAAACTTCCTAAAGGTGTGATATTTATAAGAAAATATTGATTTAAAAAAAAAAAATCATTTTAGAAGATGGAGTGGAACCTGTTCATAATATCGATACAGTGTCAAATCCACCCTTAACTTTTTTTTTTACAGAGTTCTGGACCTTTTCTTGCATACGAAAACTAAAACAGACTTTTTTTAAACAAAAATAAATTAATAAAACTATATTTTATGCACTATATATCCGTTTATTCTTCATTTAAGATAATTTTTCCCTCAATATTTATGTATGTACTCCGTTCTCCCACCCAAGAAATGGTTTAAAAATTCAGAAGATTAATAAAATATGCAGATTACAAACTGGGTCTTTGTAAATAACAACCAAGTGCAGATAACTCTGTAAAAAAAAATAATCGGAGATTGATACTGTACACTGTTAGTGTATCAATATCATGAAACGGGCCACTTCTAAATTAATTTTTAAAAAATTAATATTTTTCGATTTAGAAAGATGCCGTGACATTTGAAAGGTCTAACGAATGGCAATGTACAAAAAATATTTACCGCAAAGATTTGCCCATGTTTTTTTTACGAGTGGTCCAATCTATTTTTAATTTAAGTAGTATTTTTCAGCGTTTCAAACGAATTCTTCATTCACTGATATACTTCTTTGATTATAAATATTTTAGAGAAGACTCATATTCTCTCTTTTAGAATTTGAAAAGGTGAAATGGCATGTAAATTTTGTGGGGGACTTTTTGGAGATGGGGACAGTGTAATAATTAAGTTATTTAGCCACAAGTATTGAATTAAATTACACACTTTACTAATGAAATAATTTAAATTATATTCTA